TTGTGTTATATAAATTATTTATATAGTAAATAGCTGATTAACTGGTAAATAACTGTAAGTTATTGAATTATATAGTACATAACTGATCATTGAAAAGTAGATATTTGTAGAAATGCCAGCTTTAAATTCTTATAAAAAGGCATGGTGTATTTTCATGACATTGGCCAAAAAGCATAAGCTTAATTATGTAATAAAACTAAAACTGTTGACCTTGTTTTTTATTTTATTTATTTTTAGTGCTCTCAAATGATTAATCACGATTAACACAACATATTTTTCTTAAATATATACATGCATGTGTTTGTATTTATATATACATAATAAATATACACAGTACACACAAAAACGTTTATTTTGGATGCGATTAAATTTTTCTTAAATATATACATGCATGTGTTTGTATTTATTTATACATAATTAATGTACACAGTATAGCCTACACACGTATATTATGTAAACAACAACTTTTATTTTAGATGCGATTAATCGTGCTGAATTATTATATTAATCGCGATTAATCACATCTAAAATAACAGTTTTTATTTATTTTGTTTTATATATATATATATATATATATTTTTTTTTTTTTTTTTTAATCAATCTCGAAGATACTGCTGCTGTGTGGCTGACAGAGGACCTGTTGATTGGTTGCTCTGTAAGTGCAAGCTGGAAGCTCGCCAGGGCCGCTGACTGATCTGGAAACAGCCGTCAGCACAAAAAAAGACTGGTCGACAGCCAGGTCGCTGCAGTCATGAAGCGTCTGGTTTTGCAACGCCCCTCTTTAGGGAAGGGAATGGTCGGCTATTAAACCGATAAGGCGAGTGGACCCTTTCCAGTGTGTTTTGCGGGAAAAGTGAAACTGGATCTGCGAGGACTGAATGTCCGAAAACAACTGAGGAAAAGCGCAACATCAACTTTACAGAATAAAATAACCACCTCTAAGAAGAGCCGGATAAGGTTAGTCACCCAGTTATGTTTGTGCCCGAAGGATAGTAGGCTACGCATTTTTTTCTTTATTTGCTTACAGAAGAGAGAGATGTAGCCCAAGAAAGATGTCCATATGGAAGCACGATTAGAGCCGTTTCATGTCCCTTTTAATCCCAAAATGCAGTTGACATGCTCAAATGAATATTTTCTGTGTGTTTGACTTACAGATGTAAGCTGATATTGTGTTTGACAGATCTGTAGATTTCACAGTTCAGGGTGTGTGCTGCTGTTTGTGTTGACCAGCATCAGATCAAATCTAACATGTCATCTAATCTTTATCTTTGCCTGTGCAAAAGAGATTCCTTATCATTTTATTTAGAATTGCATAGAGTCACTTTGGCACTAATTTAAGTAAACTAACTTTTGGCATTGTGTTCATTCATATGTGTAAGATGTGTCATATCCTGGTAACTCCCTCTTCAGGTGCTTACAGGTGTAGATGTGATCACCTCTTTCTCACATGTTTGAGCAGGATGTTAATACTTGTTTAGTTTAAAAAAAAAAGTCACATGTTATTGGAGGGTTTCTTTCATTTTTCTGAAATGAAGACTTTTCGAAGAGTTTTAATGCTGCTCTTTTCCATTAAGCGCTTCCATTAAGTCTGTCAGCCTCAAAGAAGGGCCATAAAATACTATAATAGTAATCCATATGATATATGAGCTGTATTTCAAGTCATACGATAGCTTGTGTGATGAACAGACTGGGATTTAAGTCATTTTTCACAGAAAATCTTCAGTCGTACCAGCATTGTCATTGTTTAGGACACTGATTGTACTGAAACTAAAACTTTTGAGAACATTTGTGACCCTGGACCACAAAACCAGTCATAAGTCACATTGTAGTAATAGCCAACAATACAGTATATGGGTCAAAATTATTGATTTTTCTTTTATGCCAAAAATCATTAGGATATTAAGTAAAGTTCATGTTTCATGAAGATATTTAGTAAATTTCCTACTGTAAATATATCAAAACGTAATTTTTGATTAGTAATATGCATTGCTAAGGACTTAATTTGGACAACTTTAAAGGCGATTTTCTCAATATTTAGATTTTTTTGCACCCTCAAATTCCAGATTTTGAAATAGTTGTATCTCGGCCAAATATTGTCCTATCCTAACCATACATAAGTGGAAGCTTATTTATTCAGCTTTCAGCTGATGTATAAATCTGAATTTCAATAAATTGACCCTTATGACTGGTTTTCTGGTCCAGGGTCCCATTTTTGTTCATTTAAATAAAGCTGAAATAAATAATCAGAAACTTAAACTTGAAAAAAAAAAAAAAAAACGTACTAACTGCAATTAAACTTGAAATAAGAGTACTAAAACACAAACTGAAATGAATATGAAATATAGATAAAAAATATTTGTATATAATGAATAAAAATGGCTAAAACAAAATATAAACAAAAAATTAAAATAAATGCTAATTCAAAATATTTATACTAGTAAGTATATAATACTAAAATAGCACTGAGTAACAAAGTTTACACAAAATAAATATTTTTATTTTGTGAACTCTTCCTGAAGGTATTCTCATTATGTGCTTCCCACTTTAAGTACTGTTTTTATGGCCAGAATCAATTGTGCTGAGCTGGTCTCAGCTGTAATGGCTCTTAATCAAGGAAAGATCCTCACTCAGCATGTCTGATGTACAAAGAAAGATAGATAAATAGATGACAGTGCTGGAAGAATACTTTAACTACATAGTAGAGTATCAGAGTATCAACAGGGCTTCAGCTAAATGGGCAAAAGGGGCACAGCAGAGCCTCAGAGCTTGGCATATGAAGGTGGTTTTCTTCTGTTTGACAAACGTTATTATTTACTTTAATTCTAAATGGTGACTATATAGCTTGTCTGTCTTACATTTCCACTTTCCCTCCACGCCTCTAGATGGCGTCGGCCAATGATACCCGTCAGCAGGCGCAGGTGCAGAAGGATGTATCCGATCAGAATTTTGACTACATGTTCAAGCTGCTCATCATTGGCAACAGCAGTGTGGGAAAAACTAGTTTTCTGTTCCGTTACGCTGACGACTCCTTCACCTCTGCGTTTGTCAGCACGGTCGGCATAGACTTTAAAGTCAAAACGGTGTACCGCAACGAGAAACGAGTCAAACTGCAAATATGGGTGAGTTTGAAAGATGGGACATTGGAGTTATTCAATAGTTAAAATGAGGATGGTGAGTAGTATTTATAAAAATATCTGTTCATTCAAGGTCTAGACTAATTGCATTGGTGTTTTGCGGAGAATAGTGTGCCACACCACAACTATAATGATAACGGTACAGAGGAGTGATGTTGTTGGAATCATTTTCAGAAGAATTTTTTTCTAGCTGATGAATGAAAAAAACAATGACAGCCAATCAGAATCCATCCTGCTTTTTAAGCGCTTGAGCATTTAAAGCGGCAGATGACAAAACTGCAGCATGCGCTTAAAATAAACAAAACATTATCGTCCCTTGCTAATTTAGTTATCATTATTGTTATATTTATAGTTAACTACGACAGGGTTGCCAAGTCCAGGAATCGGGCTACTTTTACACTGTTGCCGTGGGTTGTTTTTTTAGTCTGTGGATTAAAGTGATCTCTCCTCCACCCCCGGGAACGCGATTTCGATGGAGTGGACCCACGACGAAGCGGAAAAAAGCAATTGGGTTGGTTTTGTTTCACAGACCTGGCAACCCTGGTGACCAGGCCTTAACTTCCTATTCATTTTCCCATAGGGTTTCATTAAACAGTTATAAGCCATAAACCAAGCCAACCAGCTATGAGGTGAATCACAACATTTCAAACTTTGATTTCAAGCAAAAAAGTATTTGAAAGTCAGACAAAAGACAAACGTACAAGACTGTGTACTTAACTGCTTTAATGAGGGAAAGAAATACAGTCCCATGAAGCATTGCACATGACATTGAATATTACATTTTTACGATTATTTACAAAATAAAAAAAAAATGGTTTAAATGTAGGCTGATGGCTTCAACAGAAGCAAATACCATTGATTAACCACCTCAAAGTAGGTCTATCTTAAAAGGTTTATAAGTTATTTTTAAAAATCAGTTCCCCTATGGAGAAAATGAATAGGATTTTTACTTCTAGATCCCGACTGCAGTACTCTGTGAGACATTTGGTGCAACGCTTTTGGTTCCCATAGTTGTAATGCATTCTGTGTCATTGCAGTTATTTCGGAAGAATAATTTCGTGACTTTACTCTGTTACGATTCTTAAGCCAGAGAAAAAAATGTTATTGCCAAAGTCAAATGTGGTGAAAAGAGGATATGCTTATCATATGTCAGCATGACTTACTGATACCTTGATCAAGATAATCTAGGTGAGGTGTGTGTTTCAGCAATGAAGGTTAATGTTACAAAACATCCAGAATGACCCAAAGCAGATGGCCCCATCATTTGATGCATTATTTGTGAAGCGAGCACACACTCACACACACACACACACACAGGGCCAAATCCATTTTGAGGCAACCTTTAGAAAATAAAAGCCATAAAATCAAATTGGGTGTGCTTTTTGACCATCCAGACCAGCCATGCATCTGCCTCTGCTCTGAATCACTAATTAAATCAATACCAAGATAGGAAGTGGGTCAGAATATCAACTGCCCAGTCCTGCCAAGAGTGTAGTTCTAAGTAGGGCTGCACAATTAATCGAATTAATCGAATCCGTCTCGACAGACGAAGCGACAGCACTTTCTGTTGATGAAAGGAAGTGGGTGAGCACCTCAGAGGTGTTGAGTATGGTTTTCCCAGAATGCACTTATGTGTTGATAACCCACCATAGAACAACTCTGCTCTGACTGCAGTGGTCTGAGACTGACTAGAATAGAGCAAATATAATTAGCTTTTTACATGCACGCCTAGTTTGGTTTGGTACCAGGACAGTGATTGCTGTGATATTTGGTATGTTTTTGGCACATTGTAATGTATTGCTAGGGTGTTGTTTTATGGCCCAAGTCAATAGAGTCCACCATCAAGTCTCTATGATATTCAGCTTTCTTGGGTATTTTTTATTTATGTATATTTTTCACCATATTTTTATCATTAGCCAAGTGAAAGTTGTATGTAAAAACGGCATCATGTCAAGTCTGATAGGCTGATGCACCACTGATGGCACAGTCCCAATTGATGTATCATATTACACTGATGCTTTATCATACATTAGATCAGAGGTTTCACTTTAGGATGCACATTTTACATTGGATATCAAGTGACGACCCAATGCATGGGTGTATTTATTTATTTACAATATCAAATATGTTTACTGTACAAGTTTATTAGACAAAAACTTAAATGCATTTGCATTGCATGCAAATGCAATTTCCCTGTGAATCCATACTTAATGTAGTCTAAATGCAGTTTTCTTCTTTCTTTTAAAAATCTGTCTATTTATTTTGTTCTCTTGCAAGGTTGTATACTTAGTTGCATTTTATTATTTGCATTAAGCATTGAGATCCAAGAGCGCAGGCCAAGCCGTGTGTGTGTGTGTGTGTGTGTGTGTGTGTGTGTGTGTATTTAGAGGGTGGGGAAGACACAGAGACTTTTCTCTTGACTAAGTGTTTGGAGATGTTTAGTTAATAATCAGTTTTATTGACTATATTGCTAGCAATGAGAATGTGCAGTATGAAGTAAGTCAATAATGTTTGTGTCTCCATACATGCAAGTTTATTATTAAACGTTCCACTAATAAGGTGAAAAATAGGGCCTTAAAGTGTTAAAATGTATGCGTATATTATTGCTATTATTATTTATTCATTCGTTCTTTTTGAATAAATTGTCAGTGAATGTAAATATTATGTCTAATTAATTAATAATTACAGTTAATTAGAATTTTTAATTTTTATATTTTTCAATTTTGTTTTCTTTTTTATTTATTATTATTATTTATTTGATCAAAATAACACCATTCTTGTATGATTTTAATCTATAAGTTCATTTCAAAAGGTGTAAATCCTCATTAAAAGAGCTTAAAGTGTGTATAATAGTTGATCTAATATTCTTTAGTTCCCGTAACACAAAAACCATGGGGATTTATGCGTCCAGTGCTTTTTATAAACTCTTTGGACACCATAGTATACCTTATTTGTGGAAAGTACTTTATATGTGTTCACTTTTACATTTCTCTGTTTACTTAAAGGAGGAGTTCTTGATTTAAAAACAATGACGAAAGTAATTTGAGTCATTTTGCTATGAAGGAAGAGCAAATATTATACATTACATTAGATTAGTCATCAGAGCTCTGTACATTCTGTGACACAGTCATGGATGTTGAAGAAAAATGTCATTGACATTTCCTGACTCTAAGGCTTGCTTTAAGATCTTTCAGAGTAGGCATAATGTTTATAGATATGATTGACTTGTCTTTGTTGTGAAGTCAGTCGTCATGCGTGTGTGTGAAGGGCAGGTGGCACATTTTATCTCATTTAAGGGGATGAGGCTTTTGTCAAACTCCCATTAGTCTGAATTCGGCTCTTCCCCTAAAATACAATACATGCATATATACAAGCCTCGAACAGCTGCCTGAACCAATGGTTACCATGGTTATCTACATAGGTGAGGTCACAGCATTCTAAATCAAGTCAAGGCTTCTCAGTATCATGGAAACTAATCAAACGTTGCCTAGTTACCATTAACGTGGCTGTTAAATTCTAAACCTCTGACTCTGCTTTGTTTGCATTGCATTTATTTGAATAATTTGTTTCTTTTTTTATTTACACATAACGTAAATTTTATATTGACAGAAATTAGGCAAATTGTCAAATATTTATATTTTTCATTGACTTGAAATTATGAAATTATCCAACATTGTCAGTATTGCTGTGATTTTTAAACACAGCTTTTTGTTTAGCCATCAGGTTTCATAAAGATGACAAATATTACAATTTGCTAAATTAATAAAGTGAAAAGCAGTGTTGTAAGTGCTGTTATGCAGATGTTCTGTATATTTGTTTCATAATTCATTCTTTGTAATTAACTCCATAATTTCTTGTATTAATTCATTTGAGGTTCAATTTAAAAATGTATATGAGTTGTAATGTGATGTAAATTCATTTGGTGTGCTTTAAAACATAAGGCGCGAGAATGCGTCACTTTAACGGAAATGACGTGCTTGTTAGTAGTGATGGGAAGTCCGGTTCTTTTCCGCGAACCGGTTCTTTCGGACGGTTAAATCGAACGATTCGTTCGCGAACCGGACATCACTACTTGTTAGTCACCCTGATGGACTGATGATGAGCGGACGCACCACAAGGCTCTGCTAAGTTAAATACGTTTAAGTTTAAAATCAGTGCTGTCTCAAGCCAAAAGGACAGTAAAAAAGATTTTCATAAACTCAAAAGACCTCTTTTCATGACAAGCGGCCAATGAGGTATTTGTTTGTAAAATGTAACGAAAGTGTTCATAATAGCGCTAAGCGCCATTTTGTGTTTGATGTATTTTTACTGTTTTCACTTGTGTACAGTTCTCACGGCGTTGTGGCGTTAAGACGTCAAAGGCGCGAAAGATAAAGAAGACAACCCTAAGAATAAAACGCCCGTTCTAAAGAACCAACCTGTGTCTGTTGTCGTGAAGAGAGCTACAGTGAGAACTCACCTGCTCGACGCGGGTAGGAGGGACAACGAGACCGTCGCGAGTGACGATTTGACGAGGATACAGCGCATCAGAGAAGCACAACCCATACAACAGTGTCAGCATAAAGATTGCAAGCAACGGTGATTAGACTGAGTTGAAAGTGCAACATTTCAAGCTAAAATCAGAAAGTGCTCTGCCACAACCGTCAAGTTAAGGTGGTTAGAGAAGTGATTACACTTGGAAACTGCAACAAGGACTTAAATCTAATTTCCTTGCTTACTGTGCTCAGCCTACATGTTTTGGAGACGAATATAATGTGCTGATGTTTATTTGTTAAATGTAAAAAGGGTCTGATTACAAAGGAAATTAAGATTCTACAGGTTTGTGTTTATAAGAAGTAACTAAACGTAAGAACAATTCAAGTGAAGTTTAAAGGTAACTCTACAAATGTGAAAACTTTCTTGTGCAAAGATAAATTATTCATTCATTAATTCAGTTTATACTCTCTGAAGTAACGATTTTATATCGCATTATACACTGTCATTTACAACAATTTATTTCTTGTTTTGAAATTTAAGCCATTTTGAATTTTAGTTTAAATAAGTTTAAACGCTGATACAGTTTTGGATACAATATTTATGTCTGTATTTTGACCATTTTGATTTCCTACACAAAATTCTTAGTTATTAACTTTGACTATTCACATTTAAACATATAGTAGCTTACAATTACACATAGACTAATACGTTTAATTTAAGCTCATTAGTTGCATACATTCTACAGCCATTCAAGATATCTCAGCATGTCTGACACACGTGCAGAGGCTAGCAGTAAACATGTCAAATCACCTGCTCTACCTGAAGTTACAGATTCCATACCTGTGGAAATAGGAGGGCAGCGAAGAAGTGAAAGAGTCAGAACTCTAACAGAAAAGGGAAGAGAACTTCAAGAAATAAAGTTAAAGGGTGTACAACGACAGTACAGAATGATCTATGAGAAATGGAAGTATCATGCAAGACTAGGCAAGGAAATATTGTCGGATGATGCTTCCCAAGATGAGCTGAATGTGCTAATTGAGAACATAGAAAGCAGCTGTTCTGAGTTAAAGGCCATTTATGAAGAGCTACGTCGAGTGCAGACTCCTGAACAAGACCTGCGACGCAGGATTGATGCATGCATATCGCTTTCAGGATTCATTGTTAGAAGAGCACAAAGGCAACGTGAAGGACATGCGGCAGATGTAGAGAAAGAACCTTGGCCTGATGTTGGATCGATATTGGACTCAACAGGCTCCTTATCAAGACCACTGTCTCGGCAATCAAAATGCAGTTCAACCCATTCCAGCATTCACTCAGTCAAAAGAAACGAAGAAGTAAATGACATTGTAATACTACAAGATGACAGCGCTCAAAGAAATGAATGGAAGCTTGCCAGGGTAGTGGAAACTTACCCTAGTGCCGATGGCATTGTGCGAAAGCTGAAGCTACTAGTCAGTGACACTACATTTCTTAAAGGAAAGCCACACACTAGATCAGTTTACTTAGAAAGGCCTATCCACAAGGTAGTTACTTTAATTGAGGCCAATTAAGTCAGACACATGACACAGTTACACTCATGTACACCTGAAATTTGATTGTTGTTGATTTTACTTCAATATATTTGTTTAAAGGAAAATCCCACATTTCAAGTAAATGAGTGATTTTGGTGGGAGTGTAAGTCCTGTTATGCAGATGTTCTGTATATTTGTTTCATAATGAATTCTTTGTAATTAACTCCGTAATTTCTTGTATTAATTCATTTGAGGTTCAATTTAAAAATGTATTATGAGTTGTAATGTGATGTAAATTCATTTGGTGTACTTTAAAACATAAGGCGCGAGAATGCGTCACTTTAACGGAAATGACGTGCTTGTTAGTCACCCTGATGGACTGATGATGAGCGGACGCATCACAAGGCTCTGCTAAGTTAAATACGTTTAAGTTTAAAATCAGTGCTGTCGCAAGCCAAAAGGACAGTAAAGAAGATTTTCATAAACTCAAAGACCTCTTTTCATGACAAGCGGCCAATGAGGTATTTGTTTGTAAAATGTAACGAAAGTGTTCATAATAGCGCTAAGCGCCATTTTGTGTTTGATGTATTTGTACTGTTTTCACTTGTGTACAGTTCTCACGGCGTTGTGGCGTTAAGACGTCAAAGGCGCGAAAGACATAAAGAAGACAACCCTAAGAATAAAACGCCCGTTCTAAAGAACCAACCTGTGACTGTTGTCGTGAAGAGAGCTACAAGTGTGGAAAACATTTTTAACTAGATATTTTCTGTTTTATATATTTTACTTGCATTAAACCGTATGAGTCTCTATATAATATATTATATTATATATATGTGTGTGTGTGTGTGTAATTTTATATTACATAATTATATACATTTTTTGATGCACTATGATAGAGTTTTTTTGTTGCAGATAATTAATGGTGAAATATCCCACTTTTTCAAAGTCAGTGCTCTACTGGAATATTAGACTCTATACTAACAAGAATGAACAGCAACGAATCATTTTAAAAAATAACTCATGAGGTTGACTCAAAACAAAGCAATGAACGCTTGTTTCAGCAGGGTTTCTGCTGTACAGTGATTTAAGAAAAAATGCTTTTAGATGTAAGTTATGAGTGTGTGTGTGTGTGGCTTATTGTTTGCTCTCCCTGAAGAAGGCTTGTGCCGAAACGCGTTGGAGAGTTTTTAGATTTCTTGGATGTAGCCATTTGATAATAAAGGCTTTTTAATTCACAAGAGTGCCATGGTCATTCTGAAGTATTCTTTGATGGACTGTTATAAACCCTAGACCAGAGAGCACCTTGACCTTACAGCACCAGAACCCCGAGACGCACTCTCTACTATTGGACTTTGTGTGTGTGTGTATTTATTGACCTAAAGGAATAGCGAATAGAGACGTTAATGGCTGTATTTCTTGTATGTTGTTCCTCAGGACACAGCAGGGCAGGAGAGGTACCGCACTATTACCACAGCGTACTACAGAGGGGCCATGGGCTTCCTGCTAATGTACGACATCACTAACCAAGACTCCTTCTACGCTGTGCAAGACTGGTGAGTTTACTTTATTTATTTATAGTCCTAGAGTCAGAGGTCCTGCTATGACCACAGGTAGTGGGAGTGATTGAAAGGTCAAATGTTAATTTTTAAAGTTCCACACATTTCATAACGACCTCCAAGGGGGCGCTCATGAGCATGAAACTGACTGAATTTCTGTGTGTGTGTGTGTGTTTTCCAGGGCAACTCAGATTAAAACGTACTCGTGGGACAACGCTCAGGTGATTCTGGTGGGAAACAAATGTGATCTGGAGGACGACAGACTGGTGTCCAGAGAGGATGGAGAGAGACTGGCTAATGAGCTAGGCATGTTACAGGACAATAAAAACCAACATTCACACACACAAGCCTGTAAATGGAGGTTCCAAAATTAACTTTTTTGCAATCCCTGAAAAAAAAACTATTCTTATTGGCTATTAAATTTTTAGATTTTTTGTTTTAGATATGTAGTGTAGTATTATACTGTAGGTAGTGATCGACCAATATGGATTTTTTTTATGGCTGATATAAAATGTATATTTATGATATCACACTATTCAATTTAAAGATAGCAAATAACACATGCATGACCATTTCTGTAATTACATTTATAGTTATTTTACATAGTATTTAAAAAATGAAAATAAATCAATTAGAAAAATTATTTGATTTAAAAAAAAATTGGAAGATGGAGAATAGGTCCTTTATGTGTCTGTCAAAATAAAAGTCCCACATATCGGCCAAACAGAAAAAACTTACCAAAATGTCATTATTACAAGCAGAATACATTCACTTATAATTATTGGTCAGCTAATATTTGCTGTTTTTTAAATTATCCACATCAGCTGACTGTTAATTATATGTGAATAATGTATTTATTCTGATTGTAAAAATAATACGTTGGGGTTAGTAAATGATACAGTTTTATTTAAATACAATATTTGTCAAATTTCATACTTATTGTATGACTCTATATCTCTTCCACTTTTTCTCTCTTTCTCTGCCGTCTTTTTGCAGGCTTCCAGTTTTTCGAGGCCAGTGCGAAGGATAACATTAACGTCAAGCAGGTGTTTGAGCGGCTGGTCGATATCATCTGTGACCAAATGAACGAGAGCTTGGATGGAGACCCGAGCATGTTAACCAATCACAAAGGCCCGAGTCTGCAAGACACGCCCCCTGATGCACAGAGCAGCTGTGGATGTTAATGATCGTCTCTCAGCAAACACTCATCCTTGAAGGCAAACATTCACACACATGCACACACTCCCTCTCTCGCTCTAACACACGTACACCGGAAGAGAGACAGTAAGAATATGGCATAAGCCCCTTAAAATGAATCATTTGAGTCACCTAAACAGGCCCCTCAGGGATGGGTTTCCCTCAGTGTGATGTGTGGCTGTTAATACACTGAACTGTGACATCATGATGAGAACAGCCGGGAAAATACTGCATGAAACTGCAGAAATCAGAAAATCACATGCCAAAGTCTTAACTGAATGCTCAACGTTTTAGGAGAGTTTCAAACTACTGCATTGTCTGTTCTGTTTACAACATGCTCAGATAAAATGCATCTGGTCGTCATTGTGAAGTAGCTTTGAAATGTATACAGATTATTTTAATGGATGCAAGATCATGTTTTACTTCGTTATAGGCGATAAACATTTTAGGACTGCTCTGGAAATGTTCAGTCCATATGATTGTCAGTCTTCATATTTTTTGTTACTTGTTTCAAAGTAAGTCATATTATATTGGTCTTTGCCATTTGCTTTAAATGCAATAAATTTGCTTCCCTGTGGACACTAAAGGAGTATTTGTATAATGTATATATTTATAGAAATATATAAATTAATTTTAAAAAAAAACACATTTTACACACACACATATATATATATAATAGTTTATATATACAGTGCCTTGCGAAAGTATTCATACCCCTTTTTTTCACGTTTTATGTTGCTGCCTTATGTTAAACTGCTTTAAATTACTTTTTTTCCCACATCAATCTACACTCCATACACCATATTGACAAAGCAAAACAGAATTGTCACAACTTTGTAAATTTATTAAAAATAAAAAAACTCAAGCCTCTTGGATGGGGGCAGATGCACATTTTCAGGTTTCTCCAAAAATATTTGATTGGGTTCAAGCTCAGGCTCTGGCTGGGCCACTCAAGGACATTCGCAGAGTTATCTATAACACCGTGGCTACACCGGACGCGAGTGGCGCGGCGAGACGCGACAAATACAATAGAACCTATTATGCTGTCTACACTGGATGTGGCACGGCGCGACAAATTCCCGACAGTAAACTGCGGCTGCGTTCTATTTATGATGTACTGACACAAAAGTGGGGGAAGGAAGGGGAAGGAAGGGAGTAGTTTAAAGCAGTTTAACATAAGGCTGCAGCAACAAACCGTGAAAAAAAAACGAAGGGGTATGAATACTTTCGCAAGGCACTGTTTATACACACACACAAAATGTGTGAGGTCACAGATGTATCTATTGATGATCACTTTTTTTATCAGTTTATCTGCATTTGCAGTTGACTTGCCTGCTTTTGTTGTAGGACATATGCTTGTGGTCATTGTGCGTGGTACAGCATTTCCTTTTGCATGAACCTTATATACTTGTGAGGATGTGAGCATTAGCACCTCTAGAAGAACCTTGTGTAGGTGGGAAATGTACAGTATAAAAATAAGAGCGTGACCACATTCTATAAGGTGAATGTGGTGAGAACATTTAAGAGCTGCCAAGACATTTATGCCAGAATCACTTCTCCACTCAGGGATTGTTTGATATTGCTGCTGATCTGCCAGGCTGCATCACACTGATGTGAGTATGTCTTTCTGTCTGTACCAAAATCTGGATTCTGTAAGTTCCTCAAATGAGAGTTCCTTTGAAAAAATGTTACTTTTTTTTTTTTATTTTTTTTTTTTGAGTGAATTTGACAGGTGCAAACAATACTTTTAGACCGGGTTAATTAGTAAATTCTAGGTTTAAGACGTAAAAATATTAGACTAAAATGCATTCTACATCTAAAACTAGCAGCCACTAGCAGATCAGACTAAATATATAACAATGTTTCAATTACTGATAAGTGCTGATAAATGATCATCAGCTAGTATTTACAACTTGAGGTGGACAGTAACGAAGTACATTTACTTGAGTACTGTACTTAAGTACACTTTTTGAGTATCTGTACTTGAGTATTGTTTTTTCTGGAAACTTGCTACTTCAACTTCACTACATTTGAAAGACAAATTTTGTACGTTCTACTCCGCTACATTTATATCAAGGTCTCCAAGTAGAAAGTCGTTATGTAGCAGTTTTTCCAGTTTGTGCATTTTCAGATTCACTGAACCCTTTTTTTTCCTGCAAAAATCCGGCCTGCGATCTGCCAGGAGCTTCCAGTGTTGCCAAGTCTTACAGTATTTCTAAGTTTTTTATGCAAATCTGGCAACCTCGGGAAACTAATGCTGGGTACACACTAAACGGTTTTTTAAATCTTATAAGATCTTCAAAATGTGAGAGACCACAAACATGAGGACAAAAAAATCCTAGATTTAACCGTTTTGCTCCTATAGTGTGTGCTGTGCTGCATGTTCCCCCCACACATCAGGATTTCTGATCGTAAATATTCAACATGTTAAATATTTACGATTTGCGATCGGGTCGCCTCCGACATTCTTCCGAGCAGATTCAGTCACTCTTAACACACCTCACACCACAGGAAAATCTGATAAAATTATCTTTAGAACCATCAAGATAATCGGGATATTACCTAGGATTGTCGGAAGGGGAGAAATCGGCCCAAAATCAGCCCGATTATCTTGTGGTGTGTACCCAGCATAATGTAAACGTCTGCGCAACTGCACAGCTAAAAGTGCTCTAAAAAGGCAAATAAGATAATAAAAGATGAAAAAGGCACATATTTATAGTGTGGTGTGATCATCTGTGTGTTGTTCACCACATTGATTTTAAAGAGACAACTGTATGTGATGCCTTATGCTGGGAACCCCGAAAACACCACACACTATAGGAGCAAAACGGTTAAATCTAGGATTTTTTTCCCTCCTGTTTGTGGTCTCTCACATTTTGAAGATATTATACGATTTTAAAAATCTTTTAGTGTGTACCCAGCATTACATATGCTGTATGGTAAATGGTAAATAAAAATGACCTACACCTTGATCTACATCACAAAGAAAATGTATAGTTTTTATTCTGTGTGAACTCGCATGTGTATGTGTTAACTCATTAAAGATCTTTGGAAAATTAACCATGTTTTTACTATAGTAACTAGTTTAATGGTATTTGCGGTAAACCCTTACAAAAAATGACTGCAGTTTTTGTTACATGTAGAAAAATGCAGTTTTTGTATTACCAACAAACAACTGCAATAGAACCGCAGTATTACTGCAATACAACTGAAGTAGTACTACAATTATACTGCAATAACATACAACTGAAGTACAATTCAATACAACCGAAGTGCAATAATAAAATGCTGTACAGTAACACTGAAATGCAACCAGAATATTCAGAACAATTTTTTTTTTGCACACATCTGCAATATAATGAATTAAGGTACAAAACAACAGTGAATGTCTCAAACAGCAATGCAACAATTAATGATTTTACTTTTCATTAAACTTAAAATAACAGGCTGAGAGTTACACTAAATGTCCTTAATGCTTATTTACAAATCACGCAATCATGCACATTTCTTCCCTCATTATTCAGGCAGGTTTCATTTTTTGAAGAGCTTATCCTCATCGTTCCGCTTGGTTCTTATGACTGCCTTTATGTCAGATGTGGAAACACTATTTTGGATGTAGTCTGGACGAACAAACAAACAAAAACTATCAGAAATTCTCAAGTTTCAGTTACTCTTTTCACTACAGGCATATTTAATATGCTTCAAATAAATCTTGAATTGTGATGTCACCAAGTGTTTGTGAAAAGTATTCATACTACTCCCAGTTCATTTCTTATGGCATATTGTTGGTCAGCATTAGCAATGACTACGTTTACATGGACATCAGTAATCTAATTATTCACCTTATTCTAAATAAGACAATATTATGATTAAGGTGTTTACATGAGTTGTTTTTAGAATATTCCTTTCATGTTCCTGTTTAACATGTTATAGTACATAGTTCGAATTTCACGTATAAACATATAGTTTGTCTTCGTGATGATGCCATGTCCGATTTTATAAGAATAATTTATTCTATTTTTGTGTATGTCCAGAACTAGATATTGTCAGATATATTTTTAATAACTTTAGTGAAGTGAAGTGACGTGGCCAAGTATGGGGTGACCCATACTCGGAATTAGTGCTCTGCATTTATCCCATCCAATGTGCACACACACAGAAGTGAAC